CATTGATATGGATATAACCTTAAGTGTTTGGCTACTGCTGGAAACATTTTTCCAGGCCACTTCAGGTGTGTCTCATTGTGATTTCTATTTTTTTTTACTTCTTAAAGTTCCCCTATAATAGAGAGAACTTGTTTACAGTTCTATGATTAGGATCTTCCCAATTTCTGATAACTATAGCAAAGCAGCAATTTTTCTTGTCTTTTGTTTTAAAAGAGCCTCCACCTACCTGGAAAGGGGTCTTTCAAAAGCGTCCCTGGAGCTACAGGACCTGGGAGACTGGGAGGTGGGGAGGCCTGATCGTGCCCCGCCCTCACTCTTTTGACTCATGGAAGACATTTACATATGTTTAAACTGATGGAGGCATGTTGAAAGAAAAGATAGCTAATGTCTTTCTTTTTTACTGTTCTGGAGCTGCTACTTTTACTTTAAGACAAAACTATCCTTTTTCCTTAAATAAAACACATTTCATATAATATGTAGCTTAAGTTACTTAAAAAGGCTTCACTTTTAAGATTGACATAGTATAAAACATAAAGATCTTAGCGTACTTTTCAAATAGACCAGTTTATATCAAAGTTTCTCCAAGTAGCTATTAAAAATCTAAATCACAAGACAGACATAAGATGCAGTTTTTTCTGGACAAAGAAAGAACTGAGGTTGTATGACTAGCCTTACAAAATACAGCAATTCTTAGCCATAGCCAGTAATCTAATACAAGACAAACTTAGACACAATGCTCTAGACCAGAAGCAAGCTCTTAGAACAAAAGGAGACAGAAAGACCACATAAACTCACCAGATAATACCACACAAAACAAGGATATGGGGATCGTAGTTTCTAAACGTGTATATAGCAATTTTTGGTAAGATCGACTCAATTCAATGGAAAAAACAGGTACAGAACTACCACTTCTCCCTTAAATATCAAAACACAGGTCAGGAGCTGCCACCTCTCCCTGAGAATTTGCTGTAACAGAGCACTGTTTTCCAGGTTTTCTCAGAGCCACAAAAAGGTCCGAATTTTGCAGCTTGTAGTGACTCACACAGCTCTTTGAAAACAGAATTACCTCTTCAAACGCCCGAATCCAGGCCTAAACTGTAGTTCACTTAAAGAGTTAACTAAATGTCTCTCTTAAGCAAACGATGAAGCAAAAATCTAAGAAAGATTCTCCTTAATCAATTAACCGGTTTTTCAAACAAATATGCCAAACAAAACTTAAGAAAACATGAGAAAGAGAACAAAAAAGAATAAGCAAAATTTCGTTTTCTGAGGGCACTCACCACGTCAGTGTCGAAGGGACATGGAGTGGGAACACGTGGGTCCAGAAGATAGGACCTTTCTTTGCCGGCTTCTGCTCCGCAGTCCAGGTCTCTGAAGTTGACTGGATTTGTAGCTTCAGATCCTGCTCACAGCGCCATTAACTGTTGTAGGGGAAAAACATCACAAAGTTTAGTAAAGTAAAAAGAAAGTTTTATTTGGCATATTCAAAAGGACAAAAGTGGGAAGCGGACAAGTCCGCTGAGTCCCCTTAGGACTTTTAAAATGCCCACATGCACTGTGAATTTTTTGAGAAGGGTATACAAGATGTGCTGTGGCCTGTATCCCCTGCCCCACTCCAGAAAGTGGTGTATAATACCTGAATATTTGTGGAAGTTTGTTGGTGGGTGAAGATATTTTCCACAGTGATGCCTTTTGAGCCATTGCAAACATTCTGGGGGCTTCCACATACCATTCACCAGTAACAAGGGGTAAGATAGTGCCTAGAGCTAGAAATAGAAAGCTTGGTTCCCTATGGAGACTCCTCCACCTGTCATCAGGATAGAAACTGCCCTTGAAGGAACCCATCCTCTTCTTTGCTGTTGCTCTTCCTCGGAACTCAGTCCTGGAGTCTCCTTCCTAACTCTCTGTGCATGCTTGCTTGGGGAGCAGGTGAGTTGGGAAAATTCTCTGCTGAAAGTGATAGAATACCTAATGACAGTTACTCCACAGAATCTGAAATCTGGGGACAGGCAGTTGAGGGCCCTGGCAACAACTCAGTGATATCAGCAGTCACTTTTCCTTCTTTCTTTTCTACTCTCCTGAGCCTGGTGGCATAGTGGCTAAGTGCTGTGGCTGCTTACCAAAAGCTGGGCAGTTCGGACCCACCAAGCGCCCCTTGGAAACCCTGTGGGGCAATTCTACTCTGTCCTGTAGGATCACTGTGAGTCAGAATCGACTCCATGGCAACGGGTTTTTTTTTTTTTTTGTTTCTCCTGAGCCATGTTGGCCATTTGACCCCAGGCTTGTTGCCTCTTGGCTGCAAGATGGCTGCCACAGCTTCAGGCATCACAACCACATTTGAAGACAAGAGTAGGTGGGGCCTCAGCAAAAGGCCCTTATCTCAAATGGCATTGTCCATTTTTTAATCTCTAAAGGAAAATATTTCCCAGTAACCCCCTTTTTTCTGTTTGGTTAGAATGGGGCTCTGTGGTCACTCCTAGCCACAAGGGCAGCTAGAAAAGACTTGATTAGCATAGACTGATTATAATCTATTCTCTAGGGGTAGGCACAAAGGGTTTCTGTTGGTACCGAGGGAGTGGAAGGCTTTTGGGTGATACTTGCCTCTGTCTGCCTTGGTTATCTTATTTGTTTAATACTTCATTTAGCACCTGTGTACTGATGATCTACTTGAGTCTCCTGAACAGGTAAGCTGTTGAATTTTTCTTGGATGCACCCAGGGGCCAACCTTGGCTCCTCCCTGTCCCATGCCTCCCATATCCAGTCTGCAGGCTCCATGGATTCTTTCTCCTTTCTTGAACAACTTTGTTTGTCTCTCTAGCCCTGCTGCACCCCTCAACCCTCTTCTCTCTTCTGTTTTGCCCATCAGCGCCTTCTCACTGCTAGCAAGCCAATTTCCTTTTTCTCCAAACATTGTTAATTTTATTTTTAATAATACACTGTAAAATAGATTTTTTCTTCTTTTGATATACAGGTCTGTGACTTTTAACACGTGTACAGTTTCTATAACCATCACCATAATGAGGATACATAAAAATTCTGTCATTCCAAAAAATTCCCTTGTGCTATTCCTTTATAGTTAGCCCCTGTTCCCCCACACCAACCCAAGCTGTGGCAACCACTGATCTATTCACCATTGCTACATTTTTGTCTTTTTGAGAATGTCATATAAATGGAATCATTCAGTGTGTAATCTTTTGAGACTAGTTTTTTTATTCAGCATAATAATATCTTTGAGATTCATTCAAGTTGTGTGTATGAATAGTTCATTTCTTTTAGAGGCACCTCAGAAGAAAGTCCTGGTGATCTACTTCTGAAAGCTCACAGCCATTGAAGACCCCATGATACACAGTTCTCTGAAACACATGGTGTCTCTGTGAGTTGGAATCGACTTAATAGCAACTGATTTGTGTTTTCTTTTTTTTTTTGATTTTACTGTGGTGAGATGAATTGGCACAATAGCTGCAAATGATGGACTTGAACATGTCAGTGATTGTGAGGATGATGCAGCACTGGGCCTCATTTCATTCTGTTGTACATAAGGTCACTATAAGTCAGAGTCCACGGGAGCTAACAACAAGTATTCCATGGTGTGAACATACCACAGTTTCTGTAACCATTTACTTGTTGAAGTACATCTGGGTTGTTTCTAGTTTTTGGCTGTTATGAATAAAGCTGCTATAAACATTAGTGTACAAGTTTTTATGTGAACGTAAGTCATTATTTCTCTGGGTAAATGCTCAGGAGTGTGACCTTTGGATTCTATGATAGATGCATGTTTAGTTTTTAAAGAAACTGCCAAACTGTTTTCCAGAGTGGCTGTACCATTTTAGATTCCCACCAGCAATATTGTAAATCCAGCCATCTGCAGAATTAAATTTTTGGAGAGGTGTTTTTGGTCACTGTTGGATTAGGCGTTTACCTTTAGAGTAGTCGTTATTGACTAGATTTAGAAATAATAGCTGACAGTAATCACCACTCCTATATTCATTCATATAGATTGGAGTGGAGTTGGAGAGAAGACTGAGCTCTCAGAAAAGTAGGGCGGAGCAGAAAACCCAGTAGGTGTCTGCTACAGTAGTGGTTTCCAAATCTGTATACACGCCAGAATCATCTGGTACATTTTTAATAATACATATTCGTGGGTTTGATACAGACCAACTAAATAGGGATCTGTAATTTTTAACAAGGGCTCAGGAGAGTTTTAGTTAGCCATGACTACATCAGTTGGGAACTTTGTACGATAATATCTATGGTATTCCAAAATTAAAAGTTTTAGAAGCATATGATGTGCTACATAACAAATGAAAAATTTCCATTCTCTTACCATTTTTCCTTATCTCTTTTCTTGGCCCTATATTTATATTTTTGTCCCCTCTGTGATACTTAATTCTATTTTTTTACTCCATCTAGTTTTTCATTGGTCTCTATTGTTTTTATGTTCCTACTGATAGGTTACTTGTTTTCTCTGTTCTCACTTAACCCTGAAATTGTAACTTTCTTTCTAGTTTCGTTTTCATTCCCAGTGTAAAATGTTTGCTCCTCAGTATCTGTGGTTCGCTTTCTGTCTCATAACAAGTTATATTCATCCTGTTCTGTGGGCATATCTGAGTCTCGCTCTCACTCAGCATTCTTACCTTTTAACGGCAGGAGTAGAAAATAACCATTGGGGCTTGGTGGAAGAATCTTCAAGTTTTATGTTTAAAGGTTGATGTTCTTGAGAAGGCTCACTCTTACCAGTCATTTTTTCCTCCTCTTTGCCAGGGAAGAAGAAGAACGTCTGAGAAATAAAATTCGAGCTGATCATGAGAAAGCCCTGGAAGAAGCAAAAGAAAAATTAAAGAAGTCAAGAGAAGAAATCCGAGCAGAAATTCAGACAGAGAAAAATAAGGTAGTCCAAGAAATGAAGACAAAAGAGAACAAGCCACTGCCACCAGTCCCTGTACCCAACCTTGTAGGAATAAATGGCGGAGACCCGGAAGATAATGACATAAGAAAGAAAAGGGAAAAAATTAAAGAGGTAATAGGTCAAGCTTTGTGATATGGAGTGGTTATGAATTTGTATTTGAATGGATTTAAATATATATATTTGTACCATTTTTTGTTATATACTCCTTGATATTGTCTGTTCTTGGGTCATAGTTGTAGTTGATTTTTCAAGTTGGCAATAAGGACTACAACTCTGTTTTCTTATTTTTTTTTTTTAATTGTGTTTTAAGTGAAAGTTTACAATTCAAGTTAGTCTCTCATACAAAAATTTATACATACATTGTTATGTGACCTTAGTTGCTTTCCCTATGCTGTGACAGCACGTTCCTCCTTTCCTCCCTGGATTTGTTTTTTTAATGTTGATTATTATTATTGAATACTAAAAAAAAGTTTGTAAGATTGTTACTTGGATGGTTCTGTCACTCACCCAGTGTTCACAGATCTTTTGATATTCAGAATTGTATAAATAATGTAAAATAGATCTGTATATAATTTATTATTGTATGAGAAATTTTTTCAGTGTTCAGTTACAGGAGACTGTGCTAGAGACTTTGCAAATTCTCCCATAAGCATGCTTCTGAAGAGCTAGCATTGTATCTGCCATCTTTTAATGAACATGGCATGATAACCCCTTGACCATAGTGCGGGTTCAGAATATATTCCTCCCAGTGAGTCTCAGTGGATTGAAGAATGGGGAAGGATTGGTCTCACAATTCTTTAAATTGATTTAACCTCAGAGTTCTTTCAATTTGTTATTCTAGGAATTACTTGGAAATAAAGAGAACACCAGAGGGAGAAAAATCTTGTGTGAATTGTTTAGTTACACTTTGCTGATTAGAAATCCTGCTAATTCAGAATTTATAACTATTTGGCTGAGAGCTGGATGGAGTTTGCAGTTGTATTGTCTATGAAGAAAAAGATTTTGTCAAAGAGTATAACAGCATCAACAATATTTCAAAATAATTGTTTATCATACAATAGGAAAATAAATGTACTTCAAATAGCCAAATATCTATTTGGATATATTCTAGTAATGGACGTGGAAGATGAGCAGATAATGTAAGCCTGGTCTTTGAATTACTGTAAGGCCTTGACCATGATGGAATCAAAACAGAACTACATTCTGATTTTATCTTACCTCTAGATTCTTTGATTTAAATACAGGTTGGTTAAGGCATTTTCTTTGGACATTGTTGGGGAGATATTGATATTTTTTTTTGTTTTTTGTTTTTTTCTGATGCCTGACTTGTTTTTTTCAGATATCATTAGAATTTTTTGAAATACTTTTCTCATGTATGTAATTAAGATGGATAACCATGTATGTTCAGGGAGTCCCCAAATCACCCTCATGTTTAGTAATTTGCTAGAAGGTTTCACAGACCTCAGCAAAGCTGTTATACTCACAGTTAAGGTTTATAACAGCAGAAGGATACAGATTGAAGTCAGTAATGAAAAAAACGCATCGGGGGGCGTTCAGGAGAGAGCAGGCGCTAGCTTCCAGTTGTCCTTTCCCCGTGGAATCATACATACAGTGCTTAATTCTCTCAGCAGCAGTGTGTAACTTGCACAAAGTATTGCCAACCAGGTTCACCTGAGCCTTATTGTCCAGGGATTTTTTTTTTTTTTTTTTGGTGGGGAGGTGTTGGTCATGGCTGAGCACTCACATGACTCTCCAACCCCTAAAGCTGATACTGCATTACTTAAGGATCCCACCATAAATCACATTGTTAGTATAAACTATCTGGTATGGCCCAGGGCCTCAGGAAACCAAGATACTCTTAACAGGCAGGATATTCCAGGGCTTAGAAGTTATCTGCCAAGAACAGGGCAAGGATCAAACTTTTCTTTAGAAAGTGCAGGGTTTGGGCAACCCAGACCTGCTGAATTAATCCTTAACTGTGCACCGTGTTATCACTGTTCTTGGAAATCAGCATCAGAAATATTAAGAATCCCTGTGTAGACTGCTGTTAAATATTATCTCTTACTGATTTTGCAAGTCAAAGAAAAGTTGAAACCTAAGCTGGGGGGAGAAGCTTAATAAGAAGAAAGCTGATTTGAACTGCAGAATACCTGAAAATTTCTAGAATTTGAGACACCATTTACCTCTGAAGGCAGGGATGTAAGATGGAGCTGGAAAAGGATTATTTGAAGCTTTGTATAAGGAACTCTTAACTTCGCAGATCCTCAGTCCTAGCCCATGCATCGTAGCTACTGTTCTGCCTTCTCCAACAGAAGACCAAAGGTTTACCTTTTGGAGAAGATGAATCAGAGAAAATCTCGTTTCTGGGAATACCAGGAATGGCTGAGTGCAAAGGGCAGAGGTCATTCTAAAAAAATGAAGAGGATGGTCAGTGTTGGCAATTAAATGAAAACCTATATTCTGAATAGTGATACCACTTCCTCCTGTTCAGCTCTCAAGAGTACTTCTTTCTGGGGAGACTGGCCCAAGAGGAAAGAAGACCTACACTGTTCCTCAAAGAAATACCCCTGCTGTTGTGGATTGAATTGTGTTGCCCAAAAGTGTGTGTTGGAATTCTAATCCCTATACCTGTGGATATAATCTCATCTGAAATTAGGGTTTTCTTTGTTATGTTGATGAGGCCATATCAGAGTAGGGTGTGTCTTAAAGACTTTTGAGATATAAAAAGAGCAGATTAGACACAGAAGCAAGCAAGCACAGGTGGGGGAAAGATAGATGCCACCTGGAGATCTCCAAGGAACTCTGAGAAGAACACTAGAGAAGTTGAGACAAGGTTCCTCCTCCCACCAAGCCGGGGGAGAGAGCCTTCCCCTAGAGCCAAACTCTCTTGCCGTACAGTCAATTCTGACTGGTAGCAACCCTATAGGACAGAGTAGAACTTCCCCTTAGGGTTTCCAAGGAGCACCAGGTGGATTCGAACTGCCAACCTTTTAGTTAGCAGCCATAGCTGTTAACCACTACACCACCGAGGTTTCCTTCCCTAGAGCAGGCCCCCTGAATTCAGACTTCTAGCCTCCTGAACTGAGAAAATAAATTTCTGTTCTTTAAAACCACCCATTTGTAGTATATCTGTTACAGAAGCCGTGGAGAAGACACCTGAGTTACAACTGATCTCCCTTAGATGAGGTCCAGTCAGCAAGTCTTGCTCATTTACAGCCTTTGATTATCTTTGTTAAAGTGCTTCATTCTTTTTTTTTTTTAATCGTAATTAAATGAAGTTAACATTTCAAGTTAATCTCCCATACAAAATTTTTTTTTTTACGTACACTGTTATGAGACCCCAACCGCTTACCCCATTCTGTGACAGCACACTCCTCACCTCCGCCCCGGATTCGCCATGAACATTCAAGCAGCTCCTAACTCTCTCTGCCTTCCCATCTCACCTCTGGACAGAAGCTGCCCCTTTGGTCTCTTGTATCTACTTGACTAAGAGGCACATTGTTCACGAGTATTACTTTATGTCCCATAGTCCAGTCCAATCCCTTTCTGATGAGTTGGCTTCGGAAATTGTTTTAGTTCTGGGGTGATAGAGAGTCCAGGGGCCATGTTCTCCGGGGCGCCTCCAATCTCAGTCAGACCATTAAGTCTGGTCTTCTTACTAGAATTTGAGTTCTGCATCCCATTGTTCTACTGCTCTATCAGGGACCCTCTGATGTGTTCCCTGTTAGGACGTTCATTGGTGGTAGCTGGGCACCATCTAGTTCTTTTGGTCTCAGGCTGATGAAGTCTCTGGTTTATGTGGCCCATTCTGTCTCTTGGGCTAATACTTTCCTTTTGTCTTTGGTGTTCTTCATTCTCCTTTACTCCAAGTGGTTGGGACCAATTGATGCATCTTAGGTGGCTGCTTGCAAGCTTTTAAGAGCCCAGACACCACTCACCAAAGTAGGATGCAGAATATTTTCTTAATAAGCTTTGTTATGCCAGTTGACAAAGAAGTCCCCTGAAAGCATGGTCCCCAGACCCCCCATCCCTGCTACTCTGTTTCTCAGAGTATTTGATTGTATTGAGGAAGCTTCTTAGCTCTGATTTAGTCCAGTTATGCTGGCTTCCCCTGTAGTGTGTGCTGTCTTTCCCTTCACCTAAGATGATTCTTATCTACTATCTAGTTAGTGAATAACCATCACCCTCCCTTCCCACCCCCATAACCATCAAAGAATGTTTTCTTCTGTGTTTAAACTTTTTCTTGAGTTCTTATAATAGTGGTCTTATACAGTATTTGACCTTCTGTGCCTGACTAAATTCACTCAGCATAAGTTCCAGCTTCCACCGTGTTATACGATGTTTCACAGCTTCATCATTGTTCTTTATCATAGCGTAATATTCCATTGTGTTGATATAGCATAGTTTGTTTATCCATTCTTCTGTTGATGGTCACTTAGGTTGCTTCTGTCTTTTTGCTATTGTGAACAGTGCTGCAGTGAACATGGATGTGCATATATCTATTCATGTGACGGCTCTTATTTCTCTAGGATATATTTCAAGGAGCGGGATAGCTGGATCGTATGGTACTTCTATTTCTAGCTGTTTAAGGAGGTGCCAGATTGATTTCCAAAGTGTTTGTACCATTTTACATTCCCACCAACAATGTGTAAGTGTTCCAGTCTCTCCACAACCTCTCCAGCATTTGTTATTTTGTGTTTTTTGGATTAATGCTAGCCTTGTTGGTGTGAGATGATATCTCATTTTAGTTTTGATCTGCATTTCTCTAATGGCTAATGATGGTGAGCATTTCTTCATGTGTCTGTTTGCTGCCTGAATATCTTCTTTGGTGAAGTGCTTGCTCATATCCTTTGCCCATTTTTTAATCGGGTTGTTTGTCTTTTTGTTGTTGAGGTTTTGCAGTATCTCATAGATTTTAGAGATTAGACGCTGATCGGATTTGTCTTAGCCAAAAATTTTTTCCTAGTCTGTAGGTTGTCTTTTAACTCTTTTGGTGAAGTCTTTTGATGAGCATAAGTGTTTGATTTTTAGGAGCTCCCAGTTAATCTAGTTTCTATTCTGGTGCTTGTGCATTGTTACTTGTGGTTCGTATTGTGTTTATGCTATGTATT